CCTAAAAGCCTGAATATGTAGGATAAAAATTCAAATCGGATTCATAAACCAAAAGCTTTTATACAATTTAATAACACTTATCTACTATTTGAAGATGACGTTGTTTCACACGATATTCAATATATAGACGAGACTTAACAACAATCGGTCTGATAATTTCGGATATTACCTGTGGGCAGATAGTTAAACAGACGAAAACAAGAGACAAATGCTCAAAAAGAACAAAATGAAAATAGCCAGTTAACTCATGAACTCGATTACAATATATACTTCCTCAGCTTGCGCTCGGGAAGTAAAAATTACAAAAATAAATAGTTATAATGTGTTGCATAATCTTGATATTTTAACGAATTTACTGCCAATATGAAACAAAAATCGAGAAGTCGAAAAACTGAAGAATCCCAAATTAAAAAATTGAAAAAGTGTAAGAACTAAAATTTCAAAATAAAAAATTGAAAGCCCAAAAATACAGAAATCGAAAAATCTACAATTCAAAAAATCAAAAATCTAGGTGAAAAACTGAAAAATCGAGAAACTGAAAATGTCAAAACGAAAATGACAAAAAATTGGGAACCGAAAATTTGAGAAATCGAGAAACTGAAACATTGAAAGATTGAAAAATCGAAAAACTGACGAGGTATCGAGAAAAATCGAGAAATCAAAACCGTGCATAATGAAAAATTAAAAAATAAAAAAACTGAGCAATTCATTGAGAACGGACGACGATTCTACTCCATGGAGAAATTGAAAAATTACAAAACTGTAAGGAGAGTGGGCATGGAGAGGGAAGAACATTGAACAGGTGAAAGAATTCCAGTACTTAGGATATACATTCAAGAGCAATAACTCAGATAGTGCGCCTATTCAGGAAATGGTCCAAAAAGCGAACAAAGTGATAGGAATAGTATGAGATAGAGAATAGGAGAGAGAAAATTTGGACATGATTATAAGAGAAGAATGATGATGTTTGATAGTTTGATCAAAAGTGTATTTATGTACGGAGCTGAGATTTGGGGATGGAGGGAATATGAAGAAATAGAGAGAGTGCAGAAAAAATACTTGAAATGGACATTGGGATTGGAAAAGTATACGCCGGGGTATATGGTGAGAGAAGAAACAAAAAGGGAGAAAATGAGAGTGGAAGCGAGTAAAAGGGCGGTTGGATTTGAAGAGAAGTTCAGTGAGAGAGGTGATTGCAAGATATTGCAAGAATGTTGGAAAGAAATAAGAAAGGAAGGGGGAAAATATGTTTGGAACGAAAGGGACAAGTATTATGAAGGAAAGGGATATGCATGTGAAGAAATGAGAGAAATGGGAAGGAGTATGAAAGAAGAACTGAGTGTAAGAGATAAGGATATTATAGATAAGTAAGAACGTAGATCGAGAATATCGGAGTCTAGATATAATGCAGACTATAGAAAAATAGTAAAGGATGAAGTAACAAAGTACACACACAGAGAGAGAAAAGAAAAGAACGATGGCGAGATTTAGGTGTGGAAATGAAGAGAAAGAGAATAATTTTTGGATGGATGAAACTGACAGAAGGTGTAGGATATGTTGGAGAGAGGGAGAGACAATAGAGCATATGCTGGAAGGATGTGAAGGATTGAGAGAATCGGAGGAAAGTAGGGAAGAAGTGCTAAACGAGGACGGAAGAGGACTGGACTGGATGAAAGAAGTATGGAAGATAAGGGAACTATGGCAAGGGGTGGGCAAGCAGAACGAATAGAATATTTATTATATAACACTCGAATTTTTATTTTATTTATTTTTAGTGTTATTGATTTATCTGATGTAGATTAAGTTAATTTGTACCCCTACGGGGAATATTAAGCCTGTAAGGCAAATAATAAATTAATACTACTACAAAACTGTAAGGTCGAAAAGTTGGGGAATCAAAAAATTAAAAATCGAAAAACTAAAAAACCTAAAAATTGAAAAATCTAAGAATGAAAATATCTAGACAATGAAAAATTGACAAGAAATCGAGAAGTCGAGAAATGGAAACGGCGCAAAATCATAAAGTTGACAAATCGAGACATGGGAAAATCGAAAAAGTGAAAACTCGAAGAACCAAGAAATCGGGAAATCGAAAAATTGAAAAATTGTGAAATTCAAATGGCAAAGCTGCAAAATTTAAAATTCAAAATCGGACCAAGGAAAAACCGAATTAGATAAACTGAAAATTCGAAAAACCGAAATGTCAAAAAATTAAGAAATCCAGACAATACAAAAAATTGAAACATTAAAATTAAAAAAAAACGATACAATTTAAATGTTGAAAAACTGAGAAAACGAAGACGAGTCTTAAGGACTTAATTAAGAAATTAAAAAAACTAAAAATCAAAAAGTTAAAAATTCGGAAAGTTTAAAAGTTACATTGTAAATTGGTGTCATAAAATTTTGTTTTTTTTTTCAAAAATATGGATGATGTAATAATCCAAACTTCCCGCCTTTAAATTGACCTTGAAAAAGTTTACAAGACCCGCGAAAAATTAAAAAATTCAAAGTTTGGCCTTGGCTGTGATCGTCTAACAAATAGCACACCTTCATGACGAACATGCTGCCCTAGCAGGTCGTTTCGGCCGAAAACTAGAGGTGAAGTCAGGTCGACAACTACCTCGTCGTCCAGACCGTTCCCACTGAATCTATTCAAAGCCTGCGTGCCTTGTGAAGATAGCGCGATACATTCCGCTACCTTGACTAGGAACCGCGCCCATCGCCGACACTACCTGTTATTGTGTTATTTACCTTCAATTCTATTTAAATGTTCAAACTCTATGACTCTAATGTTAAATTACAACCGGACAAGTGTTAAAGTTTCAACAAAAGAGCAATAAAGAATATTTAAATTCGCTATACACTCTTACAAATATTCAAACAACAAATAATTCTTAATTGAGATTAAAATTGGACATCAGATAATTTATATGAAAGAAACATTCATCAACAAAATACATATTGGTTAAAATTGGAAAACGTGAAATTATTCAGCTGCATTGTGGGCCATTATTATACATTTTCCCCAATCAAACACATAAACAAAAAAAAAACATGGTAGACAATCTGCACGTACAAAATGGCGTCGGACGAATGCGTCATTTCAAAAAATAGGCGTCAAAAATATGCGATGCAAAAATGCGATGGATCCTGTGGCGTTGTGTAAACAATGGGTAATATCAAATCAATAAAACGCACGTTCCCCCATGACCCACAATGTTGTTAATTAGTTCAATAGATTCAACAGTTAAAACATGTGCTCGGTTAAAAAAATAAACAAAATGGACGCTTCAAAATGACTGCCGTTTGAACAAAGAACGGGGAAAATAACAACGCGTTTGCCGCCATCCAAAATACAGATTCACAAAATCTAGCTAAATAAAGCATGGCCCGAAGTAAAAATTACTTCCTGTAAAGCCCTACTACGACAGATTTTAAATGAAAGAAAAAACAAGATTAATATTTGCCACACTTTATCAACGATTCAAACAAAGAGTGTACATTATGTCAAATTATATCATGATCTAAGTGAATTTTCATGAAATCTTCTAACAAGTGGTTTATTTAAATAATCCTGATTGCACTAGCTGATGATTAAGAGAAACTAACTTGATTGATGAATTTACAGACAATAGAACAAATTTTTACAGCACGTGTTTCGTGTTGACCGAAAGTCCGCAATTCTCGATTAAAAGACCGCAAGAATTAACCGTTCGGGTTGGGGACAACTGTGTCATTATGAAAGTTACGATTGATTGTCGTTAAGCAAAGACTTCCTCCCATTTTATTAACTGCCAAACCAACTAATTTAAACCTAGCTCTTACCGCGTGTTTACACTCACACAAGCACATTCATAATGATGCTACGCCATGAAGTTCCATACGAACCCTCTAACCCTGTAACTGAAATCTCCCGAGCGCTACGTGCAATAATCATGCAAACTAACCCCTAAGCGCTACGTGCATTAAATCCGACATGCATATTTGGTTGCCTATGTTTAAAGATTTCCTTTTCGTGATTGATTTTTTTTTCAAATTCAAATTATTCAAGTGTGATTTCGTGCCGCTGTTAATTAATTTTAGCGCGAAAACTTTGATTTAAATTCGGTCACCACAATGATTAGGGTAAAAATTCATATGTCATTTAATACGATTTAAATAACATTTATTCTATTTTAGAACCATAATCTTATTTATAAGCACCCAAATGCGGGCTTAAATTGGCCTTTTTAGCACAAATCTGTCAAAAATTGCTAAGCAACAATTGATTGTTCATTTACTCTAATCAATTAATTATTCAAACACGCTTCGATATTCAACGTTTTTCTTAAGTTGGAAAAACAATATTTTATCAAATCATTACCTGACCGACTTCAAATTCTTCTAAACTTTCGTTTGAATAAACGTTTTCCGCTTCTTTAATTTACATTTTGAAAAACGAATTATCAAATAATCAACGTGGTATCCATAACAACATCAAAATAATAGCCAGCTATGTATTAAAATTCGCATCGGCACAATTCACACAGTCTTGCCGAAAATACTCAATATTTCGTTAAAAATAGTTTATAAACTAAAATAGAATAAAACGTTGTATGTACCACGTGCATAATTGTCGATTGTGGCACTCAGGAAATTAAAAGCCCTCCTTCGTCGGGCTTTAAACATTCCCTCGTGCCACAATCTCCCTGATTATGCCCTTAATACATAAATAACTATTATTTACTATTGTAAAATTTGGAGACGACGTCATTTCACACGACATTCCTAATAAATATATATGTTACCGGCAATCTGTATAATTCAGGAATCCATACAATACCGGGGGCGTCTAGGGAATGTATGAATTATATGAACGAATGTGATCGTCCATTATATACTTTGCGCAGGTAATGTATACAACTTCTACGGATTGTATAGAGTATATCTAGGGACTCTAACATTTACTACATAGTCAGTTGAGTACTTTCAATATGTAAGTACAGTTCCTACACTACATCAGTACCCAATAATATTTTATTGGTGTTTCAAAGTTAACCATGAAGGTTGGAGCCTCAAAACCATAAATCACAAATTCAATGCAACCCTGGATGTTTTTAGCCCACTATACACTGGCGACACGCTTCTTTTATTGGCATCATTATCCCCCTGCATTGTCCGACTGTCACTCAACCCTCAACATATCGGTTGTAAAATTTTACAGGGACTCATGTAGTGTAGGAATTGTAGTTACATCCGTAGCTTACGTTCGAGAAGTAAAAATCACACGTAAAAATGGGAACATTCGTGTATAACGTGTTGCTCAATCTGGATATCTTACATTTACCACCAACATGTCACAACAAAAGTAGAAACTACCAACCACTACCAACATTTTGAGGTTATGTCGAAAACAATTTGAATTGTTGTTAATTCATTAATTTACAGGTACATAATGTAAGATTCGTTTTTATAATAATAATTTAACGCAACTATAACGCAACAATTGCAGACTAGTTGAAATGGAAGCTTTGAAATATTCCGTTGCTTGCACGGCACACAAGAAGTCTTCCCTGGTAAAAGTCCACGATTGTAAAATTTGCCCATACGTTACAACATCGTTTTTTCTGATGATGAACCACATTCGCCGTCATCAGTCACCCTTGATATCTTTTACCTGCGAAAACCCCCTTGATTCTTACCATTGCAAAGACTGTGATTTTCAAACCGAACTAACGCTGCTTTTCAAGCAACATATTAAAGACCGTCATGGAATTAAACAAGAAAATGACGACAATCTGATTGTGCAACACAACAATCAAAGGTACGTTTGTAGAAAGTGCGGCTTTGAGACGCATTTTTCGCTTAAATGGTTACGTCACATGAAAGAATGTAAGCGACGTTCTTATAAAACTACAGAAAAATCAGATTGGAAACAGCATATTCAGCGGCATCAAGGAGATGAAAAAGACATCAAGTGGTACAAATGTGAAAACTGCGAATACAAAAACAAATATCGCACATCTTTATACAGACACGTAAAAAAGCGGCATCTAGACAAGTGGCACAATTGCACGTTATGTCCTTATAGGACCGTAGACAAATTTGATTTCAAAAAGCACATTAACACACATGTTGATGACCTTGACCCCAAATGGTACGAATGTGAACAGTGCTCATTTAGATATAAACGCAAGATATATTTGACGAGACACGTGAACTTTTTTCATATGGACGAAAAAGACGCCAAATGGTACGAATGCCAACATTGTCCATACAAGACTAGATGTAGTTCGAACTTAACGAGACACGAGAAAAGCAAGCATTTTAATGAGAAAAGTATCACGTGGTATCAGTGCAACAAATGTTCATTTAAAACAAAACGCGAGGCGGTTTTACAGAAACACGTGGACGCGTCGCGTTTGAACGGACAATGTGAAAACGATGCCAAGTTGTTTGAATGCCATAATTGTCCATACAAGACTAGAAATCGTTCCAACTTCTGGAGACACGTGAAGTTGCAGCATTTGAATGAGGAAAATGTCGTGCAGTATCAGTGCAAGGAGTGTGAATTCAAAACCAAATATAGGGATTGTTTACGGAAACACATGAATGTGCGGCATTTGAGAGGGGCAGATGTCACGTGGTATCAGTGCGAGGAGTGTCCATTTAAATCAAAACACTTGGTGCTTTTACGGAAACACGTGAACTTTTGTCATTTGGACGAAAAGGATGTCAAGTGGTACGAATGCCAACATTGTCCATACAAGGCTAAAGATAGCTCAAATTTAATGAGACACGTGAAAAACAAGCATTTTAATGAGAATAGTCTCACGTGGTATCAGTGCAACAAGTGTTCATTTAAAACACATCTCGCGGGGATTTTACAGAAACACGTGGACGCGTCGCGTTTGAATGGACAATGTGAAAACGATGCCAAGTTGTATGAATGCCATCACTGTACGTACAAGACTGAAGATCGTTCGAACTTTAGGCGACACGTGAAGGCGCGGCATTTGGACGAAAAGAACCGCAGGTGGTACGAATGCGAACAGTGTCCATACAAGTCTAGAGATCGTGCAAACTTTACGAGACACGTGAAGGCGCGGCATTTGAAAGAGGAAAGGCTCATGCGGTATCAGTGCAAGGAGTGTCAATTTAAAACCAAATATAAGGATAGTTTACAGAATCACGTGAAGGTGCGGCATTTGAGAGGGGAAGATATCACGTGGTATCAGTGCGAGGAGTGTCCATTTAAAACCAAATACAGGAATGGTTTACGGAAACACGTGAATGTGCTGCATTTGGACGGACACGGCCTTAAATGGTACAACTGTGACAAGTGCCAGTACAAAGCTCGGGTTCGCTCATATTTAAATAAACACATAAAGGCGTGGCACTTGGACAAAGACGAAAGCAAGTGGCACCACTGCAGTGAGTGTCCCTTCAAGAGCAAAGCAAAAAGAAGTTTGACAGTACACATTAAGGCAGGACATCTGGACGACCAAAACGCGTAATGGTACGAATGCAAACTGTGCCCATGCTAGATGTTACAAATATCTAATCAAACACGCGAACGCTTGTCATTTGGACGAAAAGGGCCACAGGTGGTACAAATGCCAATAGTGTCCATTCAAGTCTAGAGATTGTTCGAATTTAAAGAGTCATGCGAGAACCCATCTTTCCAATGGGAAAAATATCAGTGCATCAACAGTCCATTTAAAAGAAAATGAACAAACAAAATTATGAGGTGACGTAACATGCAGTAAAGTAACGTTAAGATGAAAATGATATCAAGTTTTAGGAGTGTGAAAAATGTACTTTCAAAATTAAGAACAAAAGTAATTTGAAAAACCATGTGCCTAATCTGAACTTTACATGTAGTAGTTAAATTTGTTTTTCTAATGTTCTTTATTGAAATATATATAAACCGCGCTTAAAAATTTAGGGATATTTAAATTTATTCAGTTTAAGCCAACTCAATTATTTCGAAAGCCGCAGTGTATTTTTTGAAGACATTTTTGATTTGGAAATTGTTTATAATTTGGAGTAAGTGCTCATTCTACTGATCTTGAGTTTTTGTGTAATTGGTTTGTCCTGTAATCGGAGTTCGCTCTGCTGGACAAATCAAGGGTATTATTATTACTGTTATTATGAAAATTAAAAAAAAATGTCTTACCCACCTATCTTTTGCAGTTTAGTTAAGGTGATGTATTTTTCTTTAAATAAAATATTATTTCCAAATACAGTGTACCTTATTTCCATCACGTGTATGATATCCATGAGTCGATATAGTTTGGTGTATAGATGACTTTTTAATCCGAGCATTTGCGCGAGTCAACCGAACGAGGTGTCTATTTCATACAGAAATATGTTTCTCGATTTTCCGGGTTTTCAGTATTAGGACTTTCCAATTTCGATGTTCCGATTTCTCAGTTTTCGATTTATCAGTTGTTCACTACTTATTCAATTTTTAACTTTTTTTCGATATTTCAGGTTCATGATTATACAGTTTTTTGATTTTTGCAAATTTTTTTTTTAAATTTCGATTTTTCAACATTTCTATTTTTCGACTTTTCGGTTTCACGATTTTTTAATTTCTTAATTTTTCGATGTTTCAGTTTTGGGATTTTTCGACTTTTAAATTTTTTGATTTGCCCATTTTTTGATTTCTCGACATTTTGATGTTTCGATTTCTCGATTCTTCAATTTATCGATGTTTTAGATTATTTATTTTTCTTTTTATCGATTTTTCAAATTTTTTATTTTTTAAATGATAAATACAAGTATATTAGTCTGATCAATTTTGCACATTTTCCAAAGTATTTATTCGGCAAAATTTTTTGGGGTTAATAAACAGATACATTTCATACTTGCACATTTAAAATAGAATTTTTTCAACAATATTTCGAGATGACGTCATCAATTTTTTAGGTGGGATAAGTAAATATATTTTGATTAAAAATTTATCATGACTATCATAACTTTAAAACATCTGCAAGATTTCAAAGCATTCGGTTTTGCAGATTCAAAATTAGTCGCAAAATGTTGTTTTATAATTTTGATTTTTTTTTCAAAAATCTGTACGTTTGTAGTAAAACTTCAACACGGTGTAGGTCTATGTTATTTTATGCAAAAATGACGTCATCACATTATTGGCGGAGATAATTAGACAAATTTTGGTTAGTGTTTTACCATCTACATGATATTCTTAATATAAATACAAAATTTAATAGCAATCGGCCCAGTACTTTCGGAGATTATCCTCTATAGGAGTCATGAAAGGTCGAGAAAACGTAAAAGTAGAGAGTCGGTCGACGGACTCGATTATAATACTTTCTTTGTTTACGTTCAGGAAGTAAAAATTGTAAACATCGAAAAGCGGAGCTGGATTGAAAAGCCGAAAAACGAGAAAAAATTGAAAAATCGGAAAATTGACAGTTTGAAAAAGTTCAAAACTGAAATGCCGAAAAATTGAAAAATCGAGCCAAGGAAGAATCAAAAAACGAAAAGTCGGATAGCAGAGAAATCGCAAAGTAGAAAAATTGGTCTAAAGAGTTTAGACAGTACTTCCTCGCTGTCGGAAACGGGACGACTGCATGTCTAGTATATTTTTTTTTCGCAGTAGATTTCATTTTTTTTTTGAGTCACCTGGTATATGCAAATTCAAAAAATATGAATGGAATGATAAATTACAAGTACAGACTCATCATATTTTGTATATTCTAGATAGGATTTATTCGGCAAACTTTCGAGCTGACGTCATCAATTTTTTGGAAGGGATAAGCAAATATATTTTGACTAAAAGTTTATTATGCTCTTTATAACCTTAAAACATTTGCAAGATTTCAAAACATTCGGTTCTGGAGTTCCTGATTAAATCAATAAAATGCATTTACCCATTCATTAATTTTTTTGGGTCACCCTGTATATGCAAATCCAGAAACTATGAATGGAACGATAAATCACAAGAAAAGACTCATCATATTTTGTACATTTTAGATAGGATTTAATTAGCAAAATTATGTGGTGACGTCATAAATTTTTTAGGAGGATGAGCAAATACATTTTGATCAAAAACTTACCGTGCTTATGATAACTTTAAAACACCTTCAAGATTTCAAAGCATTCGGTTTCGTAGTTCCTGAGTAAATCAATAAAATATATTTACGCATTCATTAATTTTTTTGAGTCACCCTGTATATGCAAATCCAAAAAATATGAATGGAGTGATAAATTACAAGTACAGACTCATCATATTTTTACAGTTTAGATAGGATTTATTCGGCAAACTTTCGAGCTGACGTCATCAATTTTTTGGAGGGGATAAGCAAATATATTTTGACTAAACATTTATTATGCTCTTTATAACCTTAAAACATCTGCAAGATTTCAAAGCATTGGGTTTCGTAGTTTCTGAGTAAATCAGTAAAATAAATTTACGCATTCATTAATTTTTTTGAGTCACCCTGTATATGCAAATCCAAAAAATATGAATGGAGTGATAGATGACAAGTACAGACTCATCATATTTTGTACATTTTAGATATGATTTATTCCACAAACTTTTGAGCTGACGTCATCAAGTTTTTGGAGGGGATAAGCAAATATTTTTTGACTAAAGATTTATGTTGCTCTTTATAGCCTTAAAACATCTGCAACATTTCAAAGCATTCTGGTTAGCAGATTAAAAATTAAATTTCAAAATGTTGTTTTATAATTTTGATTTTTTTTCCAAAAATCTGGACGTTTCGTGTAAAAACTCAATTCGGAGTCGTAAACTACATGTGTAGGACTATGTTATTTTATACAATTTAAAACCCATTTACTATATGTACAATTTTGAAGTGACGTCATCGCATTAGTGGTGGGGACGATTAGACAAATTTTGGTTAGCGTTTTACCATCTACATGATATTTCTAATATAAGTACAAACTTTTACAACAATCGGTCCAGTACTTTCGGAGATTATCTATCTAATAAAAATCCGGGACGTCAGACAGACGACAGACGGACAGACGGACAGACAGACGGAAATGGGAGACCTATTTCTTCGTCTTCTAGGGGTCATGAAAGATCGAGAAAACGTAAAAGTAGAGAGTCGGCCGACGGACTCGATTACAATACTTCCTTTGCTTACGCTCGGGAAGTAAAAATGACGAAATGGAAACATCAGGAAATTGAAAAGTCGGAAAATTGTCGAGAAATCGAAAAATCGAAATGTCGGCTAATCAAGAAATAGGAACCGCGCAAAATTGAAAACACAAAAAATTGAAAAACTAAAAAGTGAAATATTATAAATTGAATAATTTAAAATTTAAAAAATATAAAGATTCAAAAAATGTCGAAAAATTGAAAAATCGAGAAATGGAGATACCAGAAGATTGAAAATCTGACAATTGACGAGAAATCGAAAAGTCGAGAATCCGAGAAATCGAAACCGCGTAAAATCAAGAGATGTCGAAAAGTTGGGAAATGGAAAAATTGAAAAATCGAGACACTGAAAAACCCCAACACGGAAATGTCGAAAAACTGGGAAATCGAAAGACAGAAAAATCGAGAAAAGGGAACATCAAAACATAAAAAAACAGAAACTGTCTAAAATCCAAAAGCGAAAATCGAAAAATTATGAATTAAAAATTTGAATTTAAAAAGAAATTGAAACATTGAAAAATTGAAAGATCAAAAATTAAAAAAAACGAAATATCGAAACGTCAAAAATTCGACAAATCAAAAAGTATTCAAAATCGATGAATTGAAAAATTAAAAAATGTGGAATTTAAAAAATCGAGAAATTGATTCGAAACTGAAATGTTGGAAAAACTGAAAAATTGAAGACATAATTAAGAAATTAAAAAATCGAAAAATTGAAAATCTAAAAGTTAAGAAAATTTTAAAAATCAAAAAAATTCAAAGTTATGTTGTAAATGTTATAAAATTTTGATTATTTTACAAAATATCTATGATGAAAATTTAAATCGGATTGATAAACCACAAGCTAAAAGCTTTGTTTAAAAATAGTTTTTTAAACAATTATTAAATTGTTTTTTAAACAATTATGTTTAAAAAAGTCAAGTAAGACAAAACTTAACAACAATCGGTCTGATAATTTCGGATATTACCTTGGGCAAATAGTTAAACAGACGAAAACAAGAGACGAACCGTCGAAAAGAAAATAGTCAGTTGGCTGGTGACTCAGCTTACGTTCGGGAAGTAAACATTGCAAAAATACATAGTTATAACGTGGTGCATAATCATGATATTTTAACGAATTTACTACCAATATGAAACAAAAATCGAGAAATCTAAAAATCAAAAAAAATGTGAAGTCGAAAAACTGAAGAATCCCAAATTAAAAAATTGAAAAAGTGGAAAACAAAAATGTCAAAGTAAAATAATTAAAAGCACAAAAATCCAGAAATCGAGAAATCTACAATTCAAAAAATCAAAAATTTAGTCGAAAAACTTCAAAATCGAGGAACTGAAAATGTCAAAAAATTGGAGATCGAAAATTTGAGAAATCGAGAAACTGAAACACCGAAAGGTTGAAAAATCGAAAAATTGACGAGATATCGACAAACGAGAAATGAAAATCATGCATAATCGAAAAATAAAAAAAAAACTGAGAAATTCATTGAGGGAGGACGACGATTCTACTCCATGGAAAAATTGAAAAATTACAAAATTGAAAGGTCGAAAAGTTCGAAAATCAAAAATTTAAAAATCGAAAAACCGAGAAACTTAAAAATTGAAAAATCTAACAATGAAAATATCCAGACAATGAAAAATTGACCAGAAATCGAGAAGTCGAGAAATGGACACGGCGGAAAATCATAAAGTTGACAAATCCAGACATGGGAAAATCGAAAAAGCGAAAACTCCAACAACCGAGAAATCGGGAAATCGAAAAATTGAAAAATTGGGAAATTGAAACTGAAAAGCTGCAAAATTTAAAATTCAACGAAATCGAACTGAAAAATCAAAAGACCGAAATGTCAAAAAAAATAAGAAATCGAGAAATTAAAAAAAAAATGAAACATTGAGAAATTCAAAATTTAATTAAAAATTTTAAAAATCGAAAACCAAGAACTCGAAAAATCGAAATGTCAAAAAATCGAGAAATCAAACCATTTTCAAAACTGAAAAATTGAAAAATTGAACCATTACAAAAACGAAAGCTTGAAAAATGTAGAATTTAAAAAACCCAAAAATTAAGGAAATGAAAAATCTAAAATTGAAAAAAACGATAAATTGAAAAATCGAACAGTTGATCCAAAATTTAAATGTTGAAAAATTGAGAAAACGAGGACGAGTCTTGAGAACTTAATTAAAAATCAAAAAGTTAAAAATTCGAAAAATAGAAAAATCGCAAAACTGAAATATCGAAAATTGAAAAGCCCAAAAACCGACTAACTGTATTATATTAACAAATCGAGAAATCAAAAATTTCACAAATCAAAACGTTTCAAAGTTACATTGTGCAATATTTATTACGTACGTTTAAAAAGAATTTTTTTTTTGTTTTTATTCCCATACTACAGTGTCCAAATTGTGTTTGAGTATATCTAATAGTTATCTCCAGCATTAAAATTAATATTTCAAAAGAATACGGGAAATGATTATTCTGTGCTGAAGGTCTGTTGTCGGCAACCTGTCATAAATTATTGTTCTTCAATATCGGCTTACGATGTTTTTATGACCATGTCCGGTAATCGTCTATCCCGGTGCGGCAGGTATACACATTTTTGGAAGAATTGCTAGTTCCGTTTAAAGCAAAATAAGTACAATTTCTTAGAAAGGTATTTAAACCCCTTATAGGATCAAAAGCTGCCTGGCAGGCTGGAATCACCAGTGTGCAACTTTAACTTTTCAGATTTTTGTTGAAACTCAATTTATTTTAATTTCGTTTCACGATTTCTGAGAATATATCACGATAAATTATTCTACAGAGGGTTGTAAAAATATTAATTTTATTGCCCAAGATTTACACTTAAACATAATCGGCACATTCTAGGGCAAAACGGACCTGCCAAGCCCGCCTTGCGTTAGGTCCAACAATGAAAAAATGAAGAAATGACACATGTGGCAATAGGAAAAGATGCTACATTTGTCTGAAAAATAAAGATATAAAACAGTAACAAATATGCGATTTATGCGAGAGAAATGTATGTATTGAACATTCGATTAGTCGATTACAGAACTAATTTGTGCTAATTGAAAAAATTAATCATTATGTAACACGCAATTATTATTTTCTAAAAATAATAACATATCTTAAACAAATATTTTTACTATTAAAATTACTCTTATTTAATAACACAAATACAACCAGCGGGTTGCTCAGGTACACAGATAAAATGCATTGCCCCAACAAGTGTAAAACGCAGTCAATAGTGAATTGTGGTTTATGGTTTTTAAAATACCATCTTACCATGGCTTAGATTTATTACCCCTCAGGATTATATTTAAAGATGTATAAGTACTGAAGGCTACAATGTAGGAAATGATGGTATTTAAAATATGAAAATTTTCGTGACACAACACTACTAGTGGACCTCTTACCTCTATTTTTGTTTATGTGACCAAAATCACCAACATGAAGTATCAAAAATTATTAGTAGTATAACTCAACTACTCAACTAATAACTACTGAAAAAAAAGTGAAATAAAAAATGTATGTGTATCTGCGCCATTAATTTTGTATCTAGATACAGATATTTTGTGTTTAAATTCGATTTTGTCAAGATACAGATACTAGATACCCAAAAATGTATCTAGATACTTTATTTAGATACAAGTAGTTATCTAGATACTGTCCAACACTGTATACCGGGGGCGTCTAGGGAATGTATGAAATATTACGAATATGATCGTCCATTACATACTTTGCGTAGGTAATGTAATACAACTCCTACGGATTGTATACAGTATATCTAGGGACTCTAACATATACTATTGTAAAATTTGGACATGACGTCATCTCATACGACATTTCTAACATATTAACAAAATTTAACAACATTCAGTTTGGCAATTTCTGTTATTACCTATCGGCAGACATACACGCAAACGAGAGATCTATTTTTTCGTATTCTATAAAATCAAAAATCAGTTGACTACTTTCAGTCGTAATTTGTAAGTACATACATCCTTGGCTTACGTTTGGGAAGTAAAAATCTCAGGTAAAAAAGGCAATAGTCGTGTATAATGTGTTGCAAAATCTTCATCTCTGTCACGGATTTACTACCAACATGAAACATTGAAATAACTAAAGTAAAAAGCTAAAAAGTACCAACATTTTGAGGTTATGTCGAAAACAATTTAAATTGTTTTAAATTCCATTTACAGGTCCGTAATACAAGATTCGATTTTATAACAATCTTTTAACGTAACAATAACGCATCAATTTCATTCTAGTTGAAATGGAGACTTTGAAATATTCCGTCGCTTACCCGGCGCACAAGAAGCCCCCTCTGGTAAAAGTCCACGATTGTGAAATTTGCCCATACGTTACGACATCGTTTTTTCTGATGATGAACCACATTCGCCGTCATCAGTCTCCCTTGGTATCTTTTATCTGTGAAAACCCCCTTGATTCTTACCACTGCAAAGACTGCGATTTCCAGACCCAACTAACATTGGTTTTCAAGCAACATATTAAAGACCGTCATGGAATGAAACAAGAAAACGACGACGATTTGATTGTACAACACAACATTCAAAAGTACGTTTGTGGAAAGTGCGGCTTCGAGACGCATTTTTCGCTTAAATGGTTACGTCACATGAGAGAGAGTCAGCGATGTTCTTATAAAACTAAAAAACAACCAAATTTGAAACAGCATATTCAGCGTCATCACATGGGCAAATTTGACGCCAAATGGTATGAATGTGAACAGTGCTCATTTAGATTTAAACGCAAGGCATATTTGAGAAGACACTTTTGTCATATCAACGAAAAGGACGCCAAGTGGTATGAATGCCAACATTGTCCATTCAAGACTAGATATGTTGCGAACTTAAAGAGGCACGTGAAGGTGCGGCATTTGAAAGAAGACGAAATCACGTGGCACCAGTGCAATGAGTGTTCCTTCAGGAGCAAATCAAAAAGCAGTTTGAAAAGTCACATTAACACACAACATCTGGACGACCAGAACGCGAAATGGTACGAATGCAAACAGTGCCCATTTAAAACTAAATGTTACAAATCTATAACCAGACATGTGAACACTTGTCATTTGGACGAGAAGGACCACAAGTGGTACGAATGCCAACATTGTCCATACAAGACTAGAGAGCGTTCGATCTTCAAGGGACACGTGAAGATGCAGCATTCGAATGAGGAAAGTATCATGTGGTATGAGTGCAAGGATTGTCAATTTAAGACCAAATATAGGGGTAGTTTACAGCACCACGTGAATGTGCGGCACTTGAGAGGGGAAGATATCACGTGGTATCACTGCAAGGAGTGTCCATTTAAAACCAAATACGGGTATACTTTACAGAACCACGTGAATGTACAGCATTTGACAGGGGAAGATATCACGTGGTACCAGTGCGAGGAGTGTCCATTTAAATCAAAACACCCGGCGCTTTTACGGAAACACGTGAATGTGCGACATTTGAACGGACGCGGCATTAAATGGTACAACTGTGACAAGTGCCAGTACAAAACCCAGTATCGCTCATCTCTAAAGAAACACATTATTGCGCGGCATTTGAACGAAGACCAGTTCGAGTGGTTCCGGTGCAATGACTGTCTTTTCAGGAGCAGAACAAAAAAAACTTTGAAAAGTCACATTAACGCACAACATCTGGACGACCAGAGCGCGAAATGGTACGAATGCAAACAGTGCCCATTTAAAACTAAATGTTACGAATCTGTAACCAAACACGTGATCGCTTGTCATTTGGACGAAAAGGACCGCAAGTGGTACGAATGCCAACAGTGTCCATACAAGTCTAGAGATCGTTCGAATTTAAAGAGACACGTGAGAACCCGTCATTCGAATGAGAAAAGTATTAATACATGAACTGTCCATTAAAACAAAACGAACAAACAAAAATGTAAGGTGACCCAAGATGCAGTAAAATTTAAACGCATAGATGAAAATGATATCAAGTTTTAGGAGTGCGAAAAATGTACTTTCAAAACTAAGGACAAAAGTAATTTGAAAAGCCATGTGTGTAATCTGAATTTTACATGCAGTAGTCAAGTGTATGATATCCATGGTTCAATATAGTTTGGAGTATAGATGACTTCTTTAATGCGAAGATGCGACTAATCCGACGGGGACCTGACAACTTTTTGTTCAGAAACATACATGATTGTAAGAAAATACGCACGAGTTAACCGAGTAAGGTGTCTATTTCATACAGAAATAGGTTTATCGATTTTCCTGTTTATCAGTATTAGGATTTTCCAACTTTGATATTCCAATTTCTTCCTTTTAACTTCAATTTTGGGATTTTTCGATTTTTTGATTTTTCCATTTTCGAATTCACGACTTTTCAATATTTCGTTCTCACCCTTTTTCGATTTTTCAAGTCTTCAATTTTGCAATTGGTTTTCACAATTTTTTGATTTTTATATTTTGCGAATTTGCAATTTTATGAGATGTCAATTTTTTTTAATTTAGATTTTTTGATTTCTCGATGTTTCAGTTCTTCGATTTTTTATTTTCCAATTTTTATATTTTTTAATTTTCGATTTTACGATTTCTCCACTTTTCAATTTTTGATTTTTGAAATTTCAGATTTTTCGATTTTAAATTTTTCAGTTTTTCGATATTTTACATTTTTTTTTGATTTCTCGAATTTTCCGTTTTGCGATTTTTTAATTTGTCAATTATTCGATCTTTTTAATTTTAAATTTTTGATGTTTCGATTTCTTGATCTTTCGATTTTTCGACTTCTTGGTTTAAAATTTTTCAGTGTTTCAAATTTTCATTTTTAGATGTTTGATTTTTCGATTTTTTTATGTTTCGATTTCCCGATTTTCCAAGTTTTGAATTTCTCAATTTTTCAATACATATTTTAGTTTTGGAAATTTTCCAACTTGTATATTTTTCAAATTTTTCATTTTTCGCTTACGCTCAGGAATCCGTGGGCCGACTCTACTTTTACGTTTTCGACCTTTCATAACACTTACAGTACGGAGAAATAGGTCTCCCTTTTCCGTCCGTCTGTCTGTCTGTCTGCCGTCACGGATTTTTATTAGACAGAATCTCCGAAAATACTGGACCGATTGTTGTCGAATTTTGTATTTATATTAGGAATATCATGTAGATGGTAAAACGCTAAGCAAAATTTGCCTAATCATCCCCGACGTCATGTGATGACGTCACTTCAAAATTGTGCATAGTAAATTATAAAACGACATTTTGCAATTTAATTTTGTATCTGCAAAACCGAACATCTTAAAATCTTCCAGACATTTTGAAGTTATTGCAAGCATGATAAATTTTTAATCAAAATATATTTACTTATCCCCCCAAAAAATTGATGACGCCATGTCATAATTTTGCCGAAAAAATACAATTTGTGGATAGATTAATTTATTTTATTGATTATGTCAAGAACCGCTCACACTATTTTTTCGCATTTTTTTTTTTTTGGGTTATACGTTATTATTAGTATTACTGCACCAACCTATGTTGAAATACGTGTTCTTGCAAAAACGATGACTGATGTGATCACATAATTTGTAAAGTAAAAATTTAAAAAAAACGCGTAGCATGCTTCTTTACATTTACTTTAAGATTACATATTTACATATGTTTATTTCAACTTATATTGGTTCTCAAAAAATATAAAATCCTCAAAACTTTATAATTTTTCGAAAATGCTGAATATGTTTCATTGTACTTCAGGAGCGAGGGACGTTCTGTCGAAACAACTTTCGACAAATTTTTTCACTCTTCAATAAGTATGGTAACTTAGTTTGGGGATATTCTTTTTGTCGACACAGGATATGCTGTTAGGATTATAGCTGGACTTCAGTACCGTGATGACTGCAGATCTGCATTTGTTGAGCTGTACGTCCCCAGTATCAAGCCCTATACCAAACACATGCAAACTTTAATGACTCCTCATTCGAACAATATCGAATTTGAAGCTATACTGAATTTTTTTTATGTTTTATGTTTATGTTTTTAGTCTTCGGAAGAAGGTCACCTATACATTTATATCATTGAATGTGTTTATCGCCTTAAAATAGATGACTAAGATTATTCATTAACCTCAATTAAACAAAATTTTCTGAATGTTATTATCACAAGTCTTACCTTATTATTATTGTTATACAGACGAGCGTATTCTCACATTTTCGAGAAAATGGGGTGGCTCGTTCTTTATTTGACCAATAATAAACTGACTAATTCAATATTTTTTTAGTCACCCTGTATAAACAAATCAAAAAAATTTGAATGAAATGATAAGTTACAAGTATAGTCTGGTCATATTTTGCACATTTTCGAAAGAATTTATTCGTCAAAATTTTGAGACGACGTAATCAATTTTTTGGGTTTGATAAACATTTTGATGAAAAAGTTACTACAATAACTTCACAACGTCAAGATTTTAAAGTACATATTCAGTTTTGCAATTCCTGATTTAAACAATAAAATAAATTGACTCAGTCATTAATTTTTTTCAGACACCCTGTATAAGCAGATCTAATAAAAAATCTACAAAAAAATAATGCAGTGATAAATCACAAGTATAGACTGATCATACTTTACACATTTAAGATAGGATTTTTTCAGCAAAATTTTGAAGTGGCGTCATCAATTTTTTAGGGGGGATACATTTTGTTCAAACATTTACCATGCTTATGATAACTTTAAAACATCTCTAAAATTTCAAACCATTCGGTTTTATAGTTCCTGATTAAATCAATGAAATTCATTCACGCATTAATTGTTTTTTTTTTAGTCACCCTGTATATGCACATCCAAAAAATATGAACGGAATGATAAATCACAAGTACAGTCTCATCATATTTTCTACATTTTATATAGGATTTATTCTGCAAAATTTTGAGCTGACGATGTCATCAATTTTTTGGAGCGGATAAGTGAATATATTTTGATTAAAAATTTATCATACTTATCATAAGTTTAAAACATCTCCAAGATGTCAAAGCATTCAGTTTTTTAGTTCCTGATTAAATCAATAAAAAATATTCACAAATTCATTAACTTTTTTCAGCCACCCTCTATATGCAAATCCAAAAAATATGAATGGAATGATCAATTACAAGTACAGACTCATTATATTTTCTACATGTTAGATAGGATTTATTCGGCAAACTTTTGAGCTGACGTCATCATTTTTTTGGAGGGGATAAGTAAATATATTTTGATTAAAAATTTATCATGCTTATCATAACTGTAAACCATCTGCAAGATTTCAAAGCATTCGGTTTTTGCAGATTCAAAATTATATTACAAAATGTTATTTTATAATTTTGATTTTTTTCAAAAAATCAGGACGTTTCTTGTAAAATCTCAATTCGGAGTCATAAATTACATGTGTAGGACTATGTTATTTGGTACAATTTAAAACCCATTTACTATGTACAATTTTTAAGCGACGTCATCATATTGGTGGTGCGGATAATTAGACAAATTTTGGTTAGCGTTTTCCCATCAACATGATATACCTAACATAAATACAAAATTTGACAACAATCGGCCCAGTACTTTCGGAGATTATCTATCTAACAAAAATTCGGGACGGACAGACGGAAACGGGCGACCTATTTCTCGTCCTCTAGGGGTCATGATAGGCTGAGAAAATGCAAAAGTAGAGAGTCGGCCGACGGACTCGATTACAATACTTCCTTTGCTTACGCTCAGGAAGTAAAAAAGTTGGAACTATTGAGAAGAACTTAAATTCACTAGTTGTTCAATACATAACAAAACTGAAAAGTTTGATACAACTTAAATAAAAGGCATGCTGTCAAAAAGAGATGAACTTTACTTAATCAGTCCCATATTGGCTTATTTTTTGTTAAAAACCTCTTAATAAAATATTAAAAATTATTGAATTTAATTTTTTTCACTCCTTTGTGATGCAGTATTTATTTTATTTATCCTAGGCGTTCTTTGTTCCTCGTACGTCTTTGATCTTTAAATATCATAATAACAATAACTTGTTCGTTATCTTTACTAAGTATAATCCTAACTTTTCGCAGTTCCGACCATTGCAATTAAAATAAATTCATGTGGAAGGGAAGAGAAATTTTTTTTTGTTTTTGCCCATTTATTTACAAAAAACTATATCTAAGTATATAACTAAGTAAAAAAAAAAATATGATAAAGGAAACACCATTGAACAAAGGACATTTCTATAACCGGCAACAGTTAGCGACGTCCGATCCCCTTACATTCTTCCCACAACTCCTTGATGTTTTGGTATACTATCCTCAAACATATTTGGCGTTTATGGCTTTGACGTTTAAAGTACTTTACAGCCGACCCTTCATAAAACTTAGTAAATGTAAACCATGCCACGTGCCAGGGACGGTCGAGACGCGAAGGACCGGACTCAGAGTAATTTTGTTTGTTAAAATTTTTAAAAATTATTGTCTTACATTAGTGACAAATAAATAAAAAAAAAATAATAACAGGCCATTTTAGTATTTTTGTAACAATTTATTTTTAAATACTTTTAGAAATATTGTAGCAAAAAATTTTGCCGGTGATCCCAAAAACATATATTTGTAAGTAGAAATGCGGTTTGTAGCAGAAGCTACAAAACACAGTGCCTTCTTGAAGAATAAATTCAGGAAAAGATTTAATCTATAAATTAATTTGAGTTATCTTCGACATATTGACACACGTGTACTGTTTTAAATGCTTTCAAAGCAAACTCAAGTTGAAAAGCAACAGGATAACGTCTCAAACATACTTTTAATACACTTAAATAACGGAATTTCCGAAAGTAATTTGCAAAATGCTAAAAAATATAATCTAAGTATTCGTTGAAACTGTAAAAGCTATTGCTAATTAAAAAAATTGGTCTAAAGAGTTTAGACAGTACTTCCCTCGCTGTCGGAAACTTGACGACTGCATGGCTATTGTGTTTTTTTCTCATTACATTTTTGTAGTGGGAATTTAAAATTGCGATGACGTCATCAACATTTTTGCAAGGACACGGATATCAGTTGGGATAGATGTAGTGTAATACTAAGAATAAAATTATTGTATTCCCAAATTTTCGGGAAAATGAATTGGGTCGTTTTGAATATTGATTTTTTATAATCAATAAAATAACGAAACAATTTACTCACGTATACGGCAACTGAAAATCGTTTATGTATAAACATTCTTAATTTAAGATGACAAGCGTAACAGCATACGTGAGAGCCAAACAGAGAAACTGTAAACAAAACGACCATCGGTTTTATTGCTTCGACTTCCGCTTATTATATAAAACATTGGGTTTTATTTTAATTCTTGACGGTGAAATTCATAATTGGTTGATTATAAACATGTCTATTTCACATTCGCGGAACC